TTATGCTATATGCGTGCGGGGTGCAAAACAAACGCACAGACGGCCCCAGAAAGAGGCAGCAACATGGTGCTAGAAAGAGGCGGCAATACAGGCAAAGCGTAAGAGAGAGCTCGAGCACATAATAATAAGTAGAAACCCAACTGGGAAAATGAACACGGACCAGAACTTGCACTTGGACTTGGATTTGTGTCCTAGCCATTGTGTTGTGACCACCCATCTTTTCTCTTCCAATTTTTATCCGCCACACCCATTCCCCGCTTCGGTTTTATGCTATTCCCCAGCTACACATTTTCGATTTCAATACAAATAAAGAAACTGCCCGAAGAAAGCTAGAAATTGGCAATGGCACCCGCAAAAATATGGAGGCGTAGACTACGGAGTAAACTGGGAAAACTTTTCCTTTCGGCCAGCACTTAAGACCCACAAGGAGCTGATGAAAAAAAACCGCAAAAACAACAATAACAACAACATCATCTCGAAATGCAATTAAGTCTTGTAGCCGGAAAAATCTCTGTTGGAAAGTCCGAGTCGAAAGGCGTTGAGGTTTTCTCTCCCACAAAAATTTCAGTCAGCTCAATAAAAATTGCGAAAAGGACTTGAGTTAATGCCCACACAAATAAAGAGTGCAAGGGAGATGGGATGAATATTCGCTCACTCACTCTAACTGCAACACTGCACTCGCAAAAGGTATTAAGCAAAAAAAGCCAGCGAGCCAGCCAGATAAAAAGAATGAGTAAGAAAAATTATTATTTCACATTTAGCACGTAACGCACATAAATCCTTTTAAATAAACGTTTGGCACGTTTTTTGTAATATTCCTCGCTGCGCGAACTGCAACGTTGTCCAATTCCAGCAAAAGGACGCCAGACTCCAGGTCCAGGTAGCAGTCTGAGTCCGGGCAGACACTTAAGCCTTATCCTTGCCATCGCAACTCGGAGACTGAGCAGAGTGCCGTTTTAATTTCTTTTCCCTGCCAACAGGATGAATAGTAATAAGAGGTTGCCTTTTAAAGGGCCGAATTATTAAATACTCTTAAAAAATCATAATAACTGTGCAAGGAATTGTAGTTTTTTCAGAATTTAAATACGTTTTTTTAACTATATTTAAAGTATTATTTTTAATAAGTTGAACATTGAAGTTGACATTTAAAAAATTTGGAAATACATTCAAGTAAAAGCTCTTTAACAATAAAGCGAATAAAGCATAATTAAAAATTTCTAAAATTATATTTTTATTATTTTTGGTAGACGATTCCGTGTTATTATTCAAAAATAAATTACAAATATACCACAAAAGATCTTCATTAAAACACCTTTTTTTGTTTTTGTTGCTTTCCAACTTTCAAGACTTCCATTATCTAACTCCTCAACATAATCACAATACCCTCTAGTTAAGGCCACAAATTACTTAAAACAGCAGCAAAGAATGAGCGGGAATCTGCAGAAGGGTCAGCAGAAGCAGCCAGCAAGGATTATGGCATCATTCACCATGGCGCATGCAAATGGGCACTGAAATTAATCACGACGGAGAGCTCCGGAGGAGCTGACAGTCGGCAGCAGAACCATGACCACCGGCATCCGTAAGTTGCTTTTTAATTGATCGGATTCACGAGCAGCGGCGACAACTCCTTCGAGCAGGACAAAACTCCTTGGGTCGGCAGGCAGGCTTCTTTCCTGCCACTAATTGCAGACGCTTTTGGCTCTGGCTCTGGCTCTTTCTTTCCTTGGCACATTCATCATTCGAATAACTATAACAAAAATTCATAATCCAGCATGGGAGAGTGGGGCGCTAAATGCAAATGATATGCCAGACACTTGCGATGGCAAAAGTTATCTTCTGCATTGCAGATAGAGCGAACATCCGCCCGAGTCCTGTGACTTTACTTCACTTTTGCGAGATCCTAACGACTGACACGTGAGAAGTTTTTAACACGTACACGAAGAGGCCAGAGAAATTTACGAGTTGCTGCTGCTGCTGCTGCTGCTGCTGCTACTTCTCCCACTTTGTGATTTATTTTCCAGAGTATGAATTTCCTTGAAGCCGCCTTGTTTTCACATTATTTTTTCCCTTTTCCCGTTTTTGTTACTTTTTGCTTTAATTTTTATCACTCTCGCCCAGTCTGTGGCTGTCTGAAGGTGCCACACAGGTAGCACGCGATAAGACTGGCCGTTGCACACTCGAAGCGGAAAACCGCAGGAGGAAAATCCCGGGAGGGAGTGGAAAATAAAATAAAACTGAAAGCCACGGCACAAGAAGGAAATGCAAAAAATGACACGAAATCGTTAAGCGACAAACCAGCAACTTCGACTTGAACTCTGCCGCAGAGCTGACACTTGCAACTCCACCTCATTTTCCGACTTACCACCCCTTTTCTTTTTCCCGAAGCGTCTCCTCCTCGACTAACAAGCGTGCCCAGGCAACGGAAATACTTGCCCCCGTTCGCGGCAAGTGTTGCGGCGATAAGCAGTGCCACGCCTACTCAACCTCATCCTCAGCCCCCGCAGCCATAGCACCACCCCTTTAACTTGGCTCGCACTTGAAACGATATGCAAATGTGCATGTGGCAACCCTTAGGGGGCCAGGTAAACAAGCGACCCTCGCCAAAACTCTTTTTGTAACTCTTCAACATTCCCAAATAAAAAAGAAACAATTTATGTAACGAACTACACTGATAGTCGAAATAATAGCACCACTATTTGCCAATGCATTTCAATAAGCTTAAACTGCAATTCCTCTCTCGTATGTTTTAAGCTTTAAATATGTAGTTTCCAAAATAGTTTCCTTGACATTTTAAAAATATTTTTCTCATATTTCTAAACTCCATTTTATAAAAGCACATTCGCGTTAAATCCAATTTTTTATTAAAAATTTTGTTTTTTAATTTAAATAATTTTAAGGAATAAAGAACAATGAGTTCAATTCCAGTGATATTTTCGCGACCACAATTGTGCAACAATAAAAAATCTTTATCGATAGATTGTTAGGGGGCCATTCGATGACAGCGATACGACAGGGATATGGATTGCAGCTAGATATATTCGGGCAGATATGGATATGGATATGGATATGGACAAGGATGATGAAGGGCTGTATTCTGCATGAATTTCAATTTTCGCATAAACAAAAAATGCGGGTAATTTGTGTGTGCGTGGATTTTTGCGATCGATTTTGTTGCCGTCGGTTGTCACTCTTGTCACACAAAGGCAACTCTGGCGTGTGTGTGTCTCCGTCCCACTCTCACCACATACTCGTTCCCACACTCTAGGCTTTTCAGAATTTTCCAGCCTGAGAGGCAGGACATGCAGCTTTTTCTGCGGTTGATTTAAATTGTCTACCCAGAATTCGCCGAAAAAAAACGGAAAAAAAGAGAGAAAACCCGTCATATGAAAAATGCATAATAAATGAGCTTGATTGCCGAATCGGCGGAAAAGGCGGCGGCAGTGGGCGTGGCTGCGACAGTTCAAACACGCCTTAAAGCTTTATATAGTAAGGCAACTTTCCCCGCGTTTTACATTGATTGATTTTTGTTCGTTGTTTCTTTTTCGAATTGTTCTAGCCAAGGCGTTTAACTATCTATGGGGGCGTGGACATTACAGAAATTGAGTTGTTTTAAATGCGCAGGGCGGAAACGGAAAAATAAACTCAAAACTAGCCATAAAACAAGGGGAATAAATTCCATGGCTGGGAACATTTAATGTCGTGTGTCATAAGTTTTTTTTTTTTTATGGTCGATCGTAAAATAGGGTTCCCCAAATAATGTGGTCGCCAAAACAAATAGATAGTCTAAGTACATTCAATATACTCTTAAAATTGATGTGGAACACAAACTTTTTGTTTTAAATTTTATTTCATATTTCATGGATAAACTTCATTTTTATTTTTTAAGTTTAAGATCCTATTCTTTCTGTGTAAATACAATCAAGCGTAACCAAACAAAACTAAATGCGTGTTTTAAGCACGGGAAACATTTCCACAATTTGGCGCAGGATTTGAAATATTTAATGCGTTTCTAATTGTGCGGGAATGCACACACATGCGAGTAATTCGCCCACAATAATCTACATTGTATAATGCACGGCATTTATCACAAAGTTGAAATGATTTATTGTTTTCAAATTTAAATTCTCTCTCTCTCTCTCTGAATTACGCTAAGTGCTTTAGCATTAGGCAAACCAAAATAAGGCTAAAAAAAAAACATTGAAAAACAAATGCATTAAATTACATTTAAAACTAATTAAAATTGTAGACAAGCACTTACGCTAACATTATTTATTATTATTGTTGTTGCTGTCGCTGCTTTTGTCGTAATGAGCTTACCTGCAATTAAAAGAACAAATATACAGGAACAAAATTAGTAAGCTGTTTTGAAAAACCAAATTGCATTAAGGACATTTTAAGTTGATTAAAACAAAGATGGGGAGGTTCAAACTCAATCAGCAGTCACTCAACCTGGCACTCTCCACACATTCCCCAGCCAAGCCAAGCCAAGCCAACCCATTCATTTATTCATTCACTCGTTCACTCTCTTATTCTCGGTTTTTGCAGTTGTCCACCAGCCACCTGCCTCAGGTAATTTGTTGCTCAGTGACCATTGGCGAAACAAAGGCCCAGAGACATACAGTCTAGATGGTAGCAACGCAATCCCATGTCGACTTGCTTGTGTTAGCTGCATCTTTTCCAATCCAAAACCCTTTTTGTCTCTCTGGTGCGTTGTCCATAAAAAAGAGCACAGGAAAATTGAAATGACATCGAATGAAAATTCCCGTACGTGTCCCAAACAATATAAAAGCCAAGACCGAAAACCCAATCCCAATCCCAAGCCCGAGATCCATGGGGAGTAATCGCTCTTTCTCTGCACAGTGCACAGACAAAAAGGAAAATCTCTCATGTGGGCGGCAGCTAAAGAGGATGCAAAAAAAAAAAAAAAAAGGAAAAGTGTCCAAGTAATCGAGCAACTTCAATTTACTCGCTGTGTTGGAAAAATGAAAATTGTGGCCCCGCTTTGCAGCGCTCCCCTTATGATTCCATTTAGCGCCTGGCACGCCAATTACAATGACAATGAATAATTATTCAAGACCAAAGACCAAATCCCGGACAGGAATTTTAATGCAGCAGCTGCTGCTCTCTATTTTTCCCGCCCCTTGCGCGTACAAAAATTGTTCCGTTTCGTGAAAAATATTAATGAAGTTCATCTTCAGCATTCCACGGAGCCAGCGAGCGAGCGCCCTTTGTTGTGCAAATTGTCTTAGCCCGTAGCCCATAGCCCATAGCCCATAGCCCATAGATTGGGGTATAATTCCAATTGCGAATGCAAATGCATTACCATTAACAAAAGACATTAATTACATTGGGAGAATGAAAAATGGCTGAGGGATTTCGATGCACCGTTTAATTGCCAAACATTTTTGCACATATGCACAAATTAGTGTGACAATTGTTCGTTTGCTGCTGCGTTAATGATGATGATGATAATGGCGATGATTATGGAGCTGCTGGCATGCGATATTGCATTGCGTATAACTGCCACCCACCCAATTGCAATCTGAAATCCCAAATCCCAAATCCCAAACCAAATCCCGTTGACAATTTTCGCCCTTTAGGTGGGCGACGACAGGAACCATTGGCATTATATCAATTACCCAACACAGGAATTGGACACTCACTCGTCGTGTTACACCCATGCAACCCCAAAAAGGGCACACAACGCACACACACACAACCATCGACTGTGAACCGCCGCTCTGAAATCGAGCATTGCAATTGATGAAATAATTTGCTGCACTGACATTTTTGGTTGCCATCGATACCGAAACAGATGCAGAATGGCAACAGAGTTTTGTATGGCAAATGCCTGGACTGTCGCTGCCACGCCCACTCCTGAATCATTGTCCATCAGCTACTATATGCCATCCCCTACTATTGCGTAACAGCTGCATCAATGATTTGATTTGATTTCCTTAGATAATTGCCAACTGGAACATGTGCGAGAATTTTGGACATCATCCCAAGGGTGATATTCGATGATGACGGCAACCACTAAGAATTAATCAGGGCCGGAATATCAAATTGAGCATCCTAAATAATTTCATTCGCATATAGTTCGAACACCCCAGAGAGTCCAAGTGTTGAAATGAAGGCATAGAAAGAGAGATTGGAATCAGATTCGGATCTTAATGGCTTGATGATGGATGATTTCATTGGCTTAATTTATAAGCACAGATGTACGAGCTATGAATTATTTTGTTTTAGTGTTTTCGATAATAAATTCCTTTCCCATGAATGTTTAAATTGTGGTTTGTTAAGGGTTTTATATTTTATAATTTTTTTTTTGGCGCTATCATCAGGTTATTTCAAGTTTTTTCGTTGAGTTTGACTACCCAACCATTTAACTCGTAAGCTTTTTTGTGAAGATTTGCGCGGTTTTTAAATTTTTACACTGTTTTGTTACAAAATCTGGTGGGTTTTTTAGTGTTTTTACATTTTGATTTATTTTAAGTTTTTTTTTGTAATGTTTTTTTTGGGTTTATGATTGTTTTTGTTATGTGCAAAAATATACCTGTATAAAAGTAGGAATATTGTGGATGTTGTAATGTATGTTTTCCCTACTTTGTACAAAAAGTGCTTTGCTTCGGACATTTTTTTTTTTACATTTTTAAATTTTGTTTATTTTTTTTGGTATTTTAATTTCAATTGCTACATTTGTTTAGCAACTGACTTGCTTTAAGGCTTGTGAAAACAAGTTTAGTCGTTGTGGTACGCAAACACATGAAACTATTTCTAGCATTTTTTGCAGACTTTTGTGGTTTTTTTGCGACCGACTTTGCGTTGCGATAGCTGAATGTTTGTTTTTTATTTGGTCATTTCACTTTTAGTGAATTGAAGAAATCGGCTAATTCCCTACTATGCATATGTAATTATCCAACGTCAAATTTAAATCGGTTTAAAAGCGCCCGGCAACTGCTACAAAAAACTTCCTCTCAATTTTTTTGTTACATCCTGATCGTGGGTGATATAATATGAATTCTCTGATTTGGCGTATGATATGATGTGTTGTGTGTGTTTTTTGGTTTTGGTTTATATTTTTGGTGAAAGTTTTTAAGCACACGGTGGTTCATCATTGCCTCGCATCTTCTTGGAGGTCTTGTTGTTATTGCCAGCATTTACACTACTGGTTGCATCACTATCCTGAGGAGCACCTTTTTGCTCTGGTCTTCCATTGATATCGCTCCAAATGGCCGTGGTGGCCTTGTCCACCATGAGTTTGGAGGGTCGCGGCGAGGGTCTTTCACTGTTGGATCTGGAGGATCCTCTATTAGCCAGCAAATGCTGCTGCTGATTCTGGCCTTCAAAGAAGTCACTTTCCGATTCCGGCGAAGGCTGTTGCATCAGGATTGTGGGTCCATCATAGCCCTCGAATATGGAATTCAGATTCCTCGTCGTCTCCAGTCTGCGATAGCTGGCCATAAAGATGGCTCGAATGCGCTCAAAGGTATCCGCGTCGTACACCGACCTGGCTGTATTCGTCTGATCGAAGGGCTCTTCGATGCACAGCTCGTTCCACTGGTGTATGTCGTTTTTGGGTGCCGTCGAGGCCCGGCAAATCTCGATGGGCAAAACACCGCCCACGCGAATCGAGATTGCATACTTTCCGTACTCAAATACACTGTAGTAGTGCAGAAAACTGAGCAGCAGTTCACCCAGGGATTGGGTATTCTCCGACTGATACGGATCCATCACCTCGTTCATATCCACATAACCAAAATCGCTGGGCTGCAGCAGTCCAAATTTATCCGGATAAAGCTTGTGCAGGCATGGCAGCACTGGCGGATTGGCTCCGACCTGCAGAAAATGGATGACCATCAGCATGAGGGAGTAACTCGATATGGTCATGTTCTTGGCATTATTGATATTGTGATATTGGGCCCACTGTTTGACGGTCAAGGCCATTGGACGAAGTCGCCACTCCAACTGGGAATAGCAGTACAGCAGATGGGTGTTCCTGATTCCCACCGAGTTATTAAAGTTAATGTCCACCTCCACTTTGTGTCGCCGATCGGTGAATCGAAGTATCGGCACTCGGGCCTCGATCAGATTGAAGTCCTGGAACATATTCGTGCGATTCAGCAGCTCCTTCATCAATTGCAGATGATAGACAGCCTCCATACGGGGATCAGTGTTGGGAATTGTGCAGGCCAGCATGCAAATGTCCATGTCCGAGCATTTGGAGCCAAAGAACGAGATGGAGGAGCCCACCAGATACAAGCCATATCTGGGATAAGTCGTCTGCAGATCGGTGGAGAACTCAAAATCTTAGATTATGTGAAAAAAAAAATCCCCCCAACTTAACTCACCATGGCCACTGTGTAAATGAATCGCCATAGTCGCATCTTGGTTTTATACACATGACGTGTCTGCTGGGCATCGAGAAACTTTCTCCAAATGGAAAGCGAAAGGGGATCCCACTTGTTCTTAGTGACCACAGTTTTCGGTAACCGCTTCATTTCCACCAACTTGGTTCGCAGCAAAAAGCGATCCGCTGGTGTATAACCAAAGAATTCGCGCCAATAGCGATTGTGAATCGCCAAGGGCAATTCATCGTCAGCACTTTCTTCTGGCTTTGGGATTGAGGATTAGGGATAAGGAATAAAATGAAAGGGGAAAAGATGATATCACTGACTTCGGTGACCGAATTTTGTGTTTGTCGTTTTTGTTGTTGAAATACTCTTGATAATTGATTGTTGCTTAAGCTTAAATTTTCAGTTATTTTAGGAAAATAATTATTTAATAATGTACTCAATGGCAAATAATATTCATTTTTCAGTAGAATTTGTCTTTATGAACTAGTTTCATTAATTTGATTCTGATACGCAACGTTGAAAACAATATTATAAGTAACTTTTTTCAAGAATTTATTTCAGTAATGATTGTTGAAAATTATAAAAAAACAACTGTCGGACAAACGGACAAAATGGTAAACAAATCTTTCGAGTCCTCTGTGAATTTATGGATGTGCACCTACCATGATGATATTGGATCTGTTGGCCGCCGGAGCCAATGCACTTTTGCTGGAGCAGGCGGATGGACTGCAGGAGAGATTAACATCAACCGAGATGTTGTCAGCCTCCTCGTTTAGCTCCTTCAAGTGGCTCTTGTCCATGCCAAAGGCATCCTGCTGATCCCGCTGGTCCAGTTTGTAGACCATCTCCTCCGAGGGTTGACTTAACATATCGCCGCAACAACTCATTCCTCTGGGACTGTGATGCGGATGCAGATGATGTGGCATCTGTTGGCACCTGTAGCCGTTGCTCATGCCCGTGTGCTGGGACTTTTTCTCCAGCTCCTTGAGATGGTACATATCGCCGTAGGGCACCAAATTCGGACCACTGAGATCGGGTTCTTGGGCACCGGTGGCCATGGCCAGACAACTGACCATTATCTTGCGCACCACCGACTCCACGGAGGTATCGCTTAGGTCACTTTCGATGTCGTCGCTCTCCACACTCGGTGCATAGCTGGCAAAGGAATGGCCATCGTCGACGTTCATCTCGGAACTGGGACGCGACAGCTGGCACGAGCGGGCGTCCAGTTCGGAGGTGTCCTGCTTGTAACCGAGCGGCTCCAGGTCGGAGGAGAAGCCGCCATTGGCTGGATCCAGACCCAAGTCAGCATATTCCTGGCGCTGATCAAAGTCCGAGTCCAGAGGCTGCTCGCCCTCCGAGGTGGCGCTGCTGGCCGCGGCCGTAGCTGCTCCTCCACCTTCTCCTAGTCCTCTTAATCCTCCTGCTCCTCCAACTCCACTTCCTCCAGATCCTACGATTTCTTCTGCTATTCCAGGCATTGCAACGCCTGCTCCTGCTCCTCCCAGCATCGGTGATCCCGGTGCATAAGTCATATAGTGCCCGGGTTGATAGACATAAGCATCCATGTGTCGGGATTGATAGTAACGTGATTGCTGATGGAACTTGGCAACTCTTTGCACTGCCGCTGGTTGTTGCGGCGGTTGGTATTGTTTATTCACTGGCGCCGTTATGGTCACCGGCCTTTGCTCCACTTGCTGGATGGCCATATTGCGCATTCGGTTTCTTTGGATGCGATTCGGCTGTTTTTTTGGCGAAATGGAGGTGGTGCTCGAACTGGGACGCCTGTCCAATTGGGACTTTGAGGAGGAAGCAGACAGAGATCCTGAAGAATTCGAAGTGCGCTCTTTGCCAAACGCATTCTTGCCGCCTCTTTTTGATTTTTGACGGGTTCTGGAGTAGTTGCTCGAAGAGGATCCCTGATTATTAACATTGGTTGGATTTTGATCGCTGGAGCTGGCAGCTGCTGTTGTGACCACTCCTCCACCTCCTCCTGCTGCTGCGGTTGCTGCTCCTGCTCCGCCAACTGCAATAGCTCCTCCTTGATAACTACGAGAATTCGCCATAAAGGGAGCTTTCAGACGTGCTTTACCTGTCGCACCACCTGTGATGCTGTTGTAAAACGACTTGGAATCCCTGTGGTAAACAGTTGAGCCCGCTGCAGCGGTCACCACCTGTCGTCCTGATCGATGTTCTCCTGGCCTTCCGTTGCGCCAAGGACTGCTCACTTGGGGGGCATTTCCAAGAGTTGGCGTAGCTTCCTCCCTGGTCTCGCCACCAACCGTTGTTGGTTGCGGCAACAAAGGTGGTTGCTGCTGCTGCTGCTGCTGGTGCTGCTGCTGCTGCTGCTGCTGCTGCTGCTGCTGCTGGTGCTGCTGCTGCTGGTGCTGCTGCTGCTGCTGCTGGTGCTGCTGCTGCTGCTGCTGTACGACATGACGACTGGCTCTTGTAATTCCTGGCAATGGAGCAGGATGTAATCCACCCGTGGCCTGGTTTAGGTAACCCGGGTAGATAATTCGCTGGCCATATGGATGCTCAAAGCCCACTGGCATCATTGGTATTCCATACTGTGAGGAATAGGCCTGATTATATGGGTAGTTTCTATCAAACTGCCAGACGGCGTTTTCCGTGTGCCACAAACGTCGCTGGGGTCCAGTGGGCAGATATCCCTGATAGATAAACTGGGCAGCTGGCATGGTGCCCGGTGAACTGGCTGTGAGGCCACTAGATGAAGTTGCTCCCTCTGCTAATGTTCCTGCTGATCCTGCAGGGGCACTTGGAGCTGTCACCGTTGTGGATGGAGTGACAGTGGCTACTGTGGCTCCTCCTGCTGAACCACTGGCGCGTGGCGATGCTGCGGCTGCCATGCCCATGGTGGGCAGTAAAGGCATGTGGGTGGTCAGTGAGGGAGCCGTGGTTCTCACAGTGCGTGGAGTTATTGAATACGGGGTGGGAATATTAAGGGTCACGCCAGCCATTCCACTTCCAATCCCGTAGAGATACTCCATGGAGTACCTGTAGCCACCCGGTGGACGAGGACATGTGTGCACCACTGTGGTTTTGCGCTGCCGTCGTGGTTTCGGATCACTATCCTCTGCCTTTCCCTTGCCAGATTCTTCAATTTCCAAAGATATGGTAGACATATTTGGATCTGGTTCAGTGGTTGTTGTCTTTATAGTGGCGTTCTTCATTGTGGTGGTGGTGGTGGTTGTTGTTGCCGGCGACACTGTTGTGTTTGTGGTGTTGCTATTGATCGCCGCTGTTGTTGCTGCTGCTGCTGCTGCTTGTGCTGCTGGGTCCGTGGCACTCGAGGATGCCGCCGCCGCTGCCATTGCCAGAGCAGTGGACATTGCTACCGATAAGGCCTAATCACGATCCAAACGACATATATCTATATATATGTGCGTACGTTAACGCAGATTGCTAAAGAATATGTTGTGTGTCCGGTACCTCAAACTGTCACTCCTACGAAGCAAAGAGTTGACAGCAATCTGAACGCCAGAAAATGGGATCTCAGGTGGGATAACTTGAATTAAGGCTACGCAAAAACCTTGAACCCAAAGGACGAAAAGTTATAAAATGTGCTGTATTACATCTGCGTTAAAGTGCCGCCCTTAAAGACATCATTATGTATTTTTCTGGTAGTCTGTATATTATAATTTGGATACGCTGATTCTTTGTGCGTGTAGAGGAGATTTCCTTGTTTCGTCGTTTGTCGTTTGTTTACAAAAAATGTCCTCAGATTGACTCAAATTTCTTTCACAATTTATACAATTTTCACTAGGGTTAATCACGATACACACACGTAAAAAAAGTTGCCTGTCATGTGTGCAACTGCGATGGGAATTCAAGAACGTAGTGTTGGTAAGAGATCCATCGATTGTTTTGTAGTGTTGGACAAAAAAAAAAGGAAAGTGGCACACATATCGAACACTTGCACTTCAAAGGATTTTTATTTCAGGATTCACACTATACTTTTCCGGGTGCTGGCAGTCCTTTTAACTTTCTCCACACACCACTTGAGCTAAATTTCCCTGACGCATTGAGTAAAACAAAGAAAGCTTTCGCACACACAAAGCTGACACATTTTTTTTTAAACAAGTAAGAAATAAAAGGAGCAAAATCTGCGCCATCCACTCAACATAGTTCCATTCTAAACCGACTCAGACTCCTTTTCTACCCTCCCCTTTAATGCCATTGTCTTCGCATTACGTTCACAATTTGATTTGCTTATGTAAATTATGAAGATTGCCCACAAAAAGCAACCGCAGCTCCAAGGATTCAAAAATTCAATTCGATTTACCGGCTCAGCCCAAAAAATGCAACCGAAAAAAAAAACGAAGAGAAGAAATTGCGTTCTTCTGTAATTTGAAACAAATCAAATTTATTGCCCCAGACGCAGCGGCGCCATTGGCAATTTTCAGATGCGGCCAGATGCGGTGAGCATATGAAATGAGCCCAGGGAAGGGGGTTCGAATTGGTTTAGTCTACGTGCATATTCAGATACGGGCCCCGAACACTCACATATTCTAATTAGATTTATAACCCAACAATAACTGTGCCGTTCCTCCACAATTTTCCCTTTCCACGGCCAAATTTTTCAAATTTAAAACTTTTCATGAATTATGGTCAGAGTCCGGACTAAAGCGTTTGGGCAGGAACACTGGAAAAAGAGCTTATAAAGTTTTAGATATTCCGGTTGCGAAACAAGTTTTTATTGTTGTATTATGGGCCAAAAGTTAAATAATTCCCATTAGTTGTATGATTTAACATACAAACTAAAATAAATATCTAAGGAAATAAGTAGATCAATTATTTATGTATATTTCTTACTCAACTAAACTTCCAAGTTTTTTTTTCGAATTTTAAAATTATTTGCACTATTTTTCCGAGTATACATAGTCAAGTAGAAAGAGATAAACCAACAATGATAGGACGCTTTGCCATTAACCTTTACTTGGAAATCTGTTGAGTCATGCCATATTAGTGTTCTAACCCTCCTGCGTTATTTCAAACCTCCTGGTTCTGCCATTCTGCTCATTTAATACTGTGTGACGCGTGTTACAGATTTTCGATTTAGCACACACCCAGAGGAATTTTTTTCTGTTTTTGGGATTTTCTATGCCCAACTAAAAATTAGCCTCGAAACATAAATGGCTAGAAAAAAAAGTTTCATATTACATGCAAGCAATTTGGCAAATAAACTGTCAGCAGCACTGAGGGATATACAAAAAAAAAAGGAAAAAGGGCGGAAGGCGTGCTGTAAATATGTACCGACGTAAAGTGTAGTATGCATTGAAGAAGATGCTTGGGCCGGCCATCGATTGAGCCCTGAATTATTCACAGAGCGAGCCAAGGAAAATGCCATGGCCCGTGTCCCCGGGGAAAACGCAGGATAAATAAGGCAGCGGCCAGGGGTGGAGATTCCTGAATTCTGCGTGGGCCCTCGGGGTTGGACGCTCACATTACCAACCCAGCTAAAAATACATCTTTCTCTTCCATTTTCTGTTCATTTTTGTTTTTGGCCCTTGGAAAAATCGTAGGCATTGACTTTTTATTTTTCAAAATCCATTTCGTTATGCTAGAGACAATAAAGCGTGACAGGTAATTAGATTAAACTAATTTCGGGTTCTCTTATTTATTGGCAATCAGTGACGTAACGAATTCTCTTTTTTTTTTTGTTTTTGGCATTTTGGTTAATAATTTTATTAGTGTTTCCCTTGTCAAAGTGGCGGAGTTGACAGCCGTTTGTCGCATTGCAACACTGCCGCCGTATATTTTTGTATCTGTGGGTCCGCTGATGTCCCTTTATCGGGATGTGTGTGCGAAAAGCAAATAATTAATAATTCATGCAACACGATTGACAGTGCGCCCCAGTTGAACTCGTTGGCCCTGCCGCCGTCGGTCCTTTTTTTTCCTGATTCTACTGTACTGTAGTACTGAGCCTCCTTTTTATTTGTGGCACGCTCATAAATTTACAATTACACATGCCAGAGTGGAGCTGGAGCTGGCGCTGCTGCCTGCTTTTGCGTTGTTTTTAATTTAATAAATTAATAAAACGGCAAACGTGACAACACTGGCAACACTGGCATCAAAGTGGCAAAGTGTTGCCATTTGCATTTTTAATGCACTTTACCCTGCAACTCGGCGCGTAAAAATAATTATCAACTGAATCGACGATGAGTTGGCGAAAAACCGAGAGACAGCAACGAGCGGGGCGATTGCAGTACAATTTTTAATTGAATTTTCTCAACATGCGTGTCAACTCTGACACTCTGTCAAAAGCACACCGTCTATTTCAGCTCCACAAATTCAATTTCACTTTCAATTGCAATTGCATTTGCAATTGCTAGCCCCCAAGCTGGAAAAAAGAACCACCAACAAAAAAAAAAATAAGGAAAAAGAAATAAGGAAAACCAAATTTAAACTCCAGCACGGACAATTTATAAGTGCGGCAAAAATTGTACTTTTCCTTTTGGCACACTTTGACACACAATGCCAACTCCGAAGCGGAGAAGCTCCTCACCTGCTGAACGCAGTTAACCCCAATTACAGGCACAAAGACCCGGCCCAGACAGACAGACAGCCAGCCAGACAGCCAGCCAGCCAACTAGGAGCCGGCAGTAGTTAAAATATTTAAGCCACAACAACCAGCAGAGAAAAATGTAAGTAAGATGGAATGCTGCCGCAGGCATTAAAATAATAAGGATAAGGAAGCGGTTGTTAACCACGAAAACGCTCAAAAATGAATGAATGAATGCCGGGCGGGCAGGAGCTGGAACAGCAGAAGCCGGAGTCGCGTGCTCCATTCTCCGGGCAAGTAAGTGGTGACTCTACGGCTCTTTCGGACATTGTTCATTATGCGTTTCCTGTTTGCATAAGACCGAAAAACCCGTAGTAATTGTTCTCCGCCACTGCGGCTGGCAGCCAGCGATTCCCGACTTGCCCCATTGTGCCCGGCGTTAAATTTCGAAAGTTTGCCGCCCGGCCCTCCTCCTGCCAACTACCAATTGCCAACTGCCTGCTGCCTTGAGGCTATTTGACAAAATGAGAAAACGGAGCGACACGGAAGAAAAGTGAAAATTGCATTGCTGGGCGACAGGAAATAGGCGAGCGTTTCTGTTTTCCCTTTTTATTCACTTTACACTTTTAATTATGCAGCGAGCTTGATTTCAGTAACCATTGAAGCGGATTGGGTTGAAACATATAATATGTAGGAATTGGAATTGAACAAACAACAAGTTCTGTTTTAATATTCATATTCCAGCTTTAAAAAATATTTTATTTGTAAGTTTATTTCGTTGTTATGGCAGAAAAAAATGTGTAATGAGGGCAAAATTTTAAATGTGCCAGGTGATTTTATTTCAACCTTAAATTTCTTTTAATTATCATTGCTAAAGTACCTTTTGATTTTATTATTTATGGGATGATTCCTTTTTGACTGTCTTTCAATCAATTTTTTTAATGGTAATTTGTGTTTGGTTGAACAAATCTTAATTATCAAACATTTGTTTACAAATAAATGATAAGTTTCACTTATTTTACTTTCAAATTTTGGGCATTTCCAAATGTTTTTCCCTCCAGAAGGCATTACTCAATGCCATCTGGCTTACGACTCCACTTAAGTCATTTGTCCTGCCCCACAACTAACCGTGTTCGTACTCGGGGGCTAATGAATTCACCTTGCCGAAAACTGTGCCACATTTGCCTGATTAGCTTCTCAGCTGTTGTTTCTCGTGAAGTTAATGCAACCGCCTCGGATCAAACACAATCCACCCACTTTCGACGGGCAACGTACGACGTACGACGTACGACGTACGACGACGACCCACTTACACAGCAAACGGCTCTCGACAATGAAATATATTTTTAATCAAGCCAAATCGAATTCAAAGCAATACACCGGTGGCTCGTTATTTAGGCAAATGTTCGGCCATTAACTACACACAAACACCCAAGAGTCCGAATTTCCAGAGTGGTGACCCTCCCGCACATGGGCCCAAAAATTACAACCGAAAACAAATTGACAAATGTTGCCACTTAATGTGCCGGGGATAAAATGTTAAACAATTTCGTGTTGCGTTTCGTATGCCAAAAATATACAAACTAATTAATAAGAGGAGGAATATCCATGGGAAGACGACTAAAGGAGCCAAGGGAATTGAGTGAGTGAGTGAGTGACTGGCACACGCTGGATTTTATTTGATTTTGTAAAAATTTAATTTCAACCAGGAATTCTTTCTTGGGCGGCAATTTTTCAACGCTGTCTTCGCTGCGGAGTGACTCGCCGTGACTTCCTTCACAGTTTTGCCGAGGGAATTTTGCATTTTGTTTGAATTATTGCCTTCATTAAGATTGCGTTGTTGATTTGCCCAGCCCTCCGCGTTTCTTCTTATTTTTCTGTGAGCGACAGCATGACTCCACCTCCATCCATCCCCCATACACTATATATTTTGCGTATTTCCCAGAGTTTCTCCATTGTTACACCTAGACCTGAACCAGACATTTACTTCTTCTTGTGCCTGTGCCTGTGCCTGTGCCTGTGCCGAGCCTTCCCGCTGTCCAATTATTTCGGTTGTGACTGTGACTGCTGTTCGTCTTGAATGTTGTGACTCTGCACTTGACAATAAATTTTATTCAGCGAACTGGGGGGCTTGTATTTTTAGCTTAATTGTGAATGAAGTTGATCTGCCTCCTCGTCATGTGCCGACATGTGCCCACTCCCCAGCATTTTGTATTTTTTTTTTTCTGTTTTCGGTTCTGCCTACGCGTGTGTAATTGTGCGAAATTCATTCACATGGAAAATTTGCCAGACTGTAACCGCTAAAGTCATAATTATGCGAATATTTTCCCCCTCTTCGAAAGTCGGAGGAGGAAATGGCTTGTTCTCGCCGAACATTTGATTGGCATTGTGAGGGGCCATCAAGGAAAGTGCTTTATTACTTTTCGGGTACTTGAAAAATTTTGGTTAATTAAGGGTTTTGTTCAGTGAGTTTCTTGAAAAATACATATTTAATTTTGTGGAAGTCATGAAATGTTTCTAATAAATTTTAAGCTGCGTTCTCATTAAGTTTTGTACTTCTACAACCAACATTTTTCCCTTTCGACTGAGTCAACTCTTTCAGTTTTTCCTAGCAAATATATTAAGTTAAGCAACTTCTTATGGCTTACTACCATTTTTTCCATCTATTTCTGCCCTTAAGCAATTATCTAAGCAGAGCATTACACATCTGGCTAAGCAGCTTAGGAAATAGTTCCTCTTTAGCCAGAACTTGGACAGAACTAACCGGCTAAAGTATTCAGCTGGAAAGCAGCAACCGCCAAACCAACAAACCAACAAAGCTGAACAAAGCACGAGAGCTGCCATTAAACCACTCATAACCCAGATACTCTAAGGGGTGGTGTGGTGGCGAAAAACAATAAGTACAAATGGTATGGCAGGATGGGGGAAATGGGGAAATGTGGGGAAAAGCAGGCAGCTTGTTGGCCGGTACTTATGCCAAATGCGTTTGCGATTTGTGTCAATAAACGCAGCGTAAAAGGAAAAAGCATGGAAACTCCAGTGGCACAGCAACTCGAGAAGCGAAAGAAATTTCTATTATCTGTGCAAAGTGTGCGCGAAATTGAAAATTGCAGGCTGTCGTCCTCGTCGTCGGTCGCCGGTCCTCGGTCGTCGGCCGTCCTTCGAGCAGCAGTAGAAGCGCTCTAAATTTTCATAGCCATGCCAGTTGATAAACTCTAATATGACATTATGGCGAACGCAGGGCTTTCGCCTTGTGCTCCTTGGCGTATGCCAGCATTTTGTGAAATTGCAATCGGCGGGGACTGGAGTTCGAGTTCGCTGGAAAGGGGAGTCCCATACCATCCCCTCGGATCGGTGCATCGCGGCGATATTGCAACGGGGAATTGCCGCGGAGCGAAGCGGGTTGTGTGTACGCTGTACATAGACAACAACATGGCAACAAGTTTACAAACACATTGCGGTTCCGCGCAAAAGTCAATTACCATTTTAACTGGCAGTCCTCGAAGCTGCTGTTGCTATAGCCATGGATATATGTCCTCCATAGCCATAGCGATATATCTATATGCCAAACTTAACCTGCAGCAAACTGTTTCGATGGGCGCATAAGCCCAGCATTTCAGTCAATCAGTTGGTAATCGATTTCGTCTGGGTGGCATCGAAATCGAACTCTTTAGGCACAGAGAAAAATGATTAGGATGCCGACAAAATAAATTCAATCATAATAAAATCATAATAAATATTATATATTGTACAATCACAAGTTCTGAAACTAAATATTATTGTGGCACGGAAAATGGTTTTACTGGTTTATAAATATTTCTATTGTTTAGTTTTAACTATTTTAAGATTTTTGAACTGATTTCAAAAAATCTTTGTGCATTGAAAAAAAACCAATGATTTAAGAGTTACACTTTCCGTTTCATTTAGATTACATATTTTTTGGCTTGCCAAAGAATTACTTTAAATTGCTCTGAAAATACGTTTCCTAAGATTATTTTCTTAGGGCCAACTTATATTAAAAAACTTTAACTAACGAAAAGTAATCCCAAAGGCTTTCAAATTATTCTTCTCTTTTGATTAACAATATATTTTATTTGGCTTTTTAAAGAATCACTGAAAAAAACCATGAAAATACGACTCTAAAGTATATTTTTTTTCAGTATAGTTCAGGTTTGCGTTCAGGTTCTGGTTCTGGTTCGGGTTTTAGTCTGAGTTTGTTGCTTGAGGTTAACAAATATGCGTCGACTGCTCCCGCTGCTTTTTACGCACAATTTTCCTTTGGCAAAGTTGGCGCTCGGTAACTGGCGCGTTTGTCGAAATTGAATGTAAATATTTATTTTTATTTGCATCTGCAGGCTGCACATGCGAGTGTATCTGTATCTGTATCTTGTTTGCCACTCGACATAATTAGACGATGTCTGTGCGAATAGCTCCGCTCATTCCGTCTGCGGTCGCCGATTGCAAATGATTGCAAACCCGTCATAGATTTACAATATTTACCCATGCAAATTGCCTTGAGCCACAGACTTGAGCGGCGTGCGGGGCTATTGGGTTGGAAATCACGGGGCGTCAACCTTAAGCCGGGCATTCATAATTGAATTTTCATGTTTGCCACACTACCATTACTATTGCTGCAGCATTTATGAGTTAGGAAATTCTAAAAAAAAACCAGAATTATATATTTAACGATATGAGAGAGTGGATATAAAAACTAACAACAACAAACGAACGGGCAGACACGCAATGTTGGGCAGGTCCTGCAAAAGGGTCCTTAACTGCCCGTTTGCTTGTTTTAATAACATAATTGAAAAGTGCTCTGAGCAAGGTAAATGGAATGCAGACGGCAGTTGGCAGCTGGCTTTGATTACAGGGGGTGGTCGTATATGTTATGTAGTATGTTAGTATTGTGGTACTACCCCTATTCCATATTCCGTATCCTTAACTCCGGGGTGTTGGTAATGGTGTCGATCGCGTGTTGTGGCGCCTTGTTAACAGGCGTTTGTCCTTTGTTTAAAAGGTTGAGGTTTATTAGCGTGAATCAATAGGCACGAGGAAAAAAACGGACAACATGGTCCGTAATTAACTGCAATTTGACTCGCGCGATATTGATTCGAGCTGTTCGGTGCATTCCTTGACTTTTAATTCCCATTTTTCGTCCGCAGTGTCCTGCCAGCTTCAAAACTTCGCCAGTTGAATAATGAGCATTCCTGGAGGGCTCTCTGGCGAAAAATTGAAACTATTTTGCATACCATTGGAAGCATTTTAATTTGAATTTCTTTCCAGCAAGTGATCAGCCATGGACAAGGCGATTTCCCTCCCGCATTTCTCCCTAATGGCAGTTGCTGGCCAGCAACATTAAGGATAATTGTTGTAGTTAGCATGTACTCTGGCATTTATAATGTGCTTCATTTATTTCCCCATTTCTCCCGCACCGTCTAGTTTTTCCGCTGCATTCTTATTTTCATTCTCCAGTTTGAAATACTTGGCTCGTTCGTCGCTCTGCTTTGCATATTTCTCTATCGCTAATGATAAAAATGTTGATTATGCATTTCTTTTTTTTTTTCATTATTGCTTTTGGCTCTTTGGGTGTTGATTGCGGTTGATTACGTTGGCTTTGAGGGCTGAGGGAAAACATTTGTGCGCTGGTGATGAAAACCAAGGGTGAGTGATTTTTCTAGGTGTTAATGGATAGCTATTGGCAAGCTGTCTAAAAATATAATCTATTTCTCTAAGTCCGAATTGTTTAGATTATAGTTTTATATTTAACATTACCAGCCACTAACATTTGATGAAAACTAATTTACATGTCACTATTCAATTTCAATCCCTTAAACTCCACTCAAATTGATGGGGCCAAAAGATCAAAAGAAACACCCATCAACATGCCTTCATCATCGCTTCAGCGGCATTTGTAAAACCATTCAATTAGTTAACCCTCTCATCTTTTCGGACCTCCACTAATTACAGTCAGTATGCCACGGCTAATTGCCAAAATGCGAGTGCACGGTAAGAACTTATTAGGACCGGCGGATTCGAATTCGGAGATTGCCTTTCATATCATAATTTCCAATGCCAACACACTGCAAGTCAGTGCCGGCAGATTGTCGATGGACAGATAGACATAGAACCCGATACACAGAAAAGCGGCGGACGGACACAAACAAATTGACGTGCCGACACATCGACTAATGGACATGACTGCACTACTGCACAACAACAACAAACCCAGGCTTTCGCCACCGAAAATGATAGACAAATGCCAAATGGAAACGGGGAAAATTCGCGCTGCAAAGTGAACGAAAATTGCTCGCTTTATGGTAAAAATTGCATAAATAAATCATGCTCTAATATTGCACTTGCCCTTGCAACAATCTGTCAGAATGGGAGCGTTGGCAGCGTCAGCACCCACAGGCAGCGACTGCGGATGCGGATGAGGATGCGGATACGGATACGGATGAGAGTATGGGTCGTGGCCCGCGCAGACAATGGATGCATAGATCCTGTAGCAGACGGACAATGGCAGGACAGGAAGGGGTTTTTGAAGGGGTTCCGTACTTCGTACTTCGTATGGCAATGTCAAACCGTGGCGTGAATGAGTGCGCACAAAATGGCGTTTAAGGCCATAAACAGCAAACGAGTTGGCGGAAGGGTTTTTTTGGGGCAGAGCGAGGGGTTGAGTTGTAGACCCGTGGCGAACCAATCGATGCCAGGCCATAGATAGTGCCGAGTCATCTACTGCCGTCCATTCGTCCTTCTGCACTTGACAGCGCCCCGCTCGCTGACCAGGCCTGCAAACCGATACGAGTGTTCGAACCCAACACTGGGACCTAGACCTCAATCTGAACCCCTTACCGGCAAACTTTACACTTCAATTAAGATACAGTCTTACATATTAAATTGAATTGAAAGTGTTAAATGACTCTAAAGCTTAAATGTTTATTTAAAGGAATCTTTTTTTGCTCATTAAAATTTAAACACAAATAATCACTATAACTGTATTTAAAAATATATTATTTAAAATTGTTTTTGGGAAATATATTTAAGAGTTTAGTAGTAATAAGTATATTTTATTTATTAGTTCTTACCATGAAAAAAAGAATATAGTGAAGTAGTTACTTATTAGCAAAATCAATTAGATAAGAAGGAGTTTCTTTGCCAGCTACTAAAATTCTTTCTTGTGTACTATAATATTAGCATAAATGAAGGCTTACATTTTCAACCGCATCTATTTGACTATTGAATGATTGCCCCAAATTGGTTGCAGTGCACTTGTACGAGTATCCATGTCGGTGTCTAGCGCTTGTCTGACAAACTGAATCGCCTGTCTGTTTTGGTGCTTAATTCGTCACTAAATGAGATTTTTTTCGGCTACGGTTCGGTGTATTTTTTGTTGCAATTCGCTCGTTTTTGGCCATTGTTGTACGCCATCGAAATTGCTATTTTGATAGCTGAACGGGCGAGTTCCTGCTGCCTGGGCTGCTCCTGTTTCTGTTTCTGTGGCTTTGGCGTTGGCTTTGGTATCGCCAGAGTGGCTAAAATGGCCAAGGGTTTTTGGGTGGTGGCGGCGGTGCAGAGAAGTGGTTGGCTGGATGGGTGGTGCTATCGCCTGGCGCCGACAGTTGCAGCCACTTTGCAATAACACAGCGTGAAATTGCAACGCCAAATCGAATCAGTCCGCACGGGAAATTCGATTTTTTGTTCGCTGTGTGTGCGAATGTGAGGATGTGGATGTGGGTTTGGATGTGGATGTGGATGCCACTGATGATGCTCGGCTGTTCTGACTACGGCTACTAGTCTTTTGCGGGCAATCAGACAGCAACAAATGCCAGACGGAAGCCCAAAAAGTGAATCCGAAACGGAGTCGGAGTTTGGAATCTCGCGGGTGCCACTGAAAAAAAGCAGCAATGCAATTTCAAGGCAAACTATTTTCGGTCAAAAACACTGTTGCTGAAGGCGACGTAAACATAAACAAAAGGGTACTCTTTAATAAGGTAGCTAATTTTTGCACTTTGACTTAAATTGTTTTAATAAAGTATTATATTAAGAACACTTTTGGAAAGACAAATTCGTTTTAAAGTAAATTAAATTACTTCAACTTTCACAATTGTTTTCAACATCTTGGTGCCCAGACATTTATTCATTTATCCCTGCATTCCGTGTCCTTTTTTTTCGCAGCTATCCTTCAACTATCCATCAGGACCAGAGCGAAATGAAATTACAAAATGTGTTGAATGCTCGTAGCATTCTTTTGTAGCATTTTTGCATGCCACCCACTCAGACTGACTGCCCACCGAAAATCCCATCCCATTCCCCGCTGGCATTGTGGCATAAATTGCTTATTTATTGTTTAAAATGGTTTCTGGTTGCTAAACGACATTTTCAGCGCTGCTGGCCATTATTGGACTGCGCTGTCTAAAAACAGGTGCCAAAATACACGTGTTCGAGTATCTCTCCATCCGTGTATCGCACATGTTAAGCAGATTTCGAATGTCTACCTTGTTGGGTGAGTGTGAGTGTCACTGTAAGTGTGAGTGTGAGTGTGAATGCGGCATTGTTCTATTCAAACTATAAAATTCGGATTGGAAATTCGCCGTTTGCCGGTTGGCTTTTGGTGGCACAGGAAATAATTCGAGGGAAATGGCCAAAATTGATGCTTGATGAAGCAGTAAATTAATTTGCACATTTTTCGATCCATTCAACTTGACATCTGTATGCAAAAATGCTGCTAAGTGGGATGTGCCATAAAATGTCCAGCAAAGGAATGTATGGATATTCATTTGCATATTTAAGGGGCCCGATTACTCAATGTTTATTTTGTGCTTTTTACTGCAGTCTTAATATGATTTTATTTTGCATTTATAAATGTTTAAATATATTTGTGTTTTTATATTGATTAAATGGTAAGGAATTTGCCAAAATACTATATAAATCTATCCCTTAATAAAATAAAATTTCATTGATAATGCATTAATGCATTATTTAAGAGTTAAAAGCCGATGCCAATGAAAATTGTTTTGTGAATATTTCAATCTCCATCGGGTGTCAAAAGCTACTCCACTTTGACAGCTTCAGAAATAAAACTTCGCATATGCAAATTAAATGGAATTGTCTCCACACGACACGACGAATCGCAAAACCGTTAAGATCATGTCCCCTTAGCCGGGGATCATCCAATTTTGGCCAACTCCAACTCCAGAGACGGCTTTGCCAATCAAGAGGAGCAACTGCATCGGCTCGTCGACTCCGAGAAGAGGGAAACTACATAACGATATGCAAAATATGCAACACAGATGCCATATCGGCTGTCAGTCGTCAGACGCAAACTCGGAGTTGATTTAAGTTGAGTCGAGAGTTACGGAGTTGAGACGAGAGGAAGACTACCACAAAGACTTCGTCGGCGACTCCTGTGGCAGCCTCCTGTCGTTTTGCGCCCAATTACGCCTTCAAATTGAGTGATAAATGTCTCGGCGATGGCACATAAATAAACTTGAGTTAAATTTATTACACAACCCACACAAAGACTTCATAAAAATGCAAACTAAATGAACTATTAAAGGAGGCGGCATCGGTTGGCGGCGGCGGCGAACATGAGAAAACCCCCCCAGCAGCAGAAAGCATCAGAAAGCAGCCGAAACGGAAAACAAACAAACAAATGAAGAAGGCTAAGACGAAAAGCGCTCACTCCTCGAAAGACAATTGAATTGCATTGGCGATGGCATTGGCATTGGCATTGGCATTGGCAAAAGAAAACAAACAAGGGGAACCAAACAGATCGGAACGGTTCGGAACGGAACTCAACTCTGGACGACTCTGACTTGGTGTGAGTAAAAATGCAAATAAATGCGCAAATAAAATGTGCAATCAAGTCGGAGATGGCGACGGGCGAATAACAGCGACAACCGGCGAGTGAAGCCGGCAAAGTGTGAATGTTGCGCATGCGCAGAGCAACGTAGGCAGAAGGGGGGTTAAGGGGGTTAAGGGGGTTAAGGGGGGTAAAGGGGGCCCCTGGCGAATCCCACCACCAGTACACAACCCGGCCAAGTGCGCATCAATTAGGCCGCCAGGAACGGTACGGAACGTTACGGCAGCACGAACTGCAAAGCTAAGAGACTGACCAAAAGATAAAGCAATGCCACAGGACAGAAGGCACCCCAATCGCCAAGCTTCAAGCTCCAGAACACCGAACACACAGAACACAGAACGCAGGCAGCAGAAGCAGGCCCACAAATGAATAAAACGTTTAGATAAACAAATACAGAAGAATGCTGAAATGCTGTTAAAAGCTACAAAATGAAGTGGCCGTTGGAGGCAATACAATGTTTACACTGTGAAATTGAATCTAGCTTTAATTAGCAGACCAAAACGAATAGTAATTGTCTTATAAAGTTCAGTTTTCTATGTCATTTTAAAAAGAATATAAACTGATAGGTTATTGTAAAAATGCAAAAAAGAATTTGTGTGAAGTGGAAACATTGTTTACAATATTTATGTTAAGACAGATTCAAAATTTAGTCAAAACGGGGTATAAAAGAGAGGGTTTCTATGTCTTCAGGTGTTTTAATATCCCTGCGTTTATTATATAGATAGTGTGTTTTTTACAAACAAAATTAAGAAGTCAATATATCTTTTTTCAAAAAAAAAAAAAAAAAACAACTTTGTAGTATTAAAGATGGCAGTTTCCTTTGTTTATACATCTTAACATTGAATCTTTCAATCGCAGGACATTTGTCTACATCCTATTTTATTTATTCTGAGTGTAGCTGTATTGGAACTGAGATTGGAATTGGGAACTGGGTTTGGGATTTGGTGTTGGGTATTGAGCCTGCTTTCGTTTCGTTGCTTCTCCTCCTCCGCCCCCGTCTCAGTTTGCCACAATTTCAATGAACATGCGCGCACACAGTTGAAGAGCAAACAAATTTATTACGCGCCGTTTGAACAGCGCATAAATTTTAACCCATGTGCGAGCGATGTAGTAGGAATGGGTTAAGCAGCAGCAGAAAGGGGAGGGGGACGGACTCCAGCCAAGTCACGGCTGACCAAGATTAACATACTCCGGCGATCCAAAGGCGGTGGGGGGGCCCCACCAAATCTTCGACTGAGAAAGAGACAGATACAGAGAGAGAAACAGAGAGCGAGAGAGACAGAGGGGGGGCCAGTGAAAGAGACCGGTAATCGATCGACGACGGTTGCGTGCAACTTGCAGCGTGCGTGATTTACAAACAGCGCCACATTTGGCAAACATTTACGGGGCCGCGAAACTTGTCTCGATGGAAACTACGTAAAACGATTTAAAGCTGAACACGACCAATTTGTGGATAGTCGTTGGGCCGTCTGGACCCTCAGACAGAGACAGAGACAGAGCCAGAGGGATGGGTAAAGGTAGAAAGAGAGAAAGAGAGGTGAGGGGAAAAAGAGACCCCCGCTGATGGGGCACTGGGATGCTGTGTGCCACACATTTCTCATTTCGGGGATTTATGTGCAGCCCTGAACAATCGATTGTTGATTTTACTGAATCGAAACTCACACATAACGAAAAAGAAACCCCATTACCATATTAATGTTTTTCCATCTTCGTTGTTTACTATTAATGTAATCAGTTTGATCTGGCCTCATATCAATATCAAAAACTTGCATATTTACGGTTAAGTGTGAAAAATACAAATTTATTATTCAAAATGTAGGTCTTAAATATTGCTTGCTTTTTTTGAATCAATGAAATATTGAATTTATTTAAATTTTAAGATTCAACAATCATAGCACAAATATTAAGATCAGAAAGTCTAAATTTTGGACGCTAAAATTGGAAGCTTTGCTAAACACCTAAAAGTTCATTTTATCTAAATATTTTTTGGTGTTCTTACTCTGGTATAAATTCCAAATTATAATACATTTTTCTCTCTGCATTTTTCACCTCGCCCACCGTCCGGTAATTCAATAGCTTTTAAGCCAACTAATTTCCAATTTCGTGAAATTAATATATAGAGTTAGTTGGCAGATTGAATTTCCAATGAATTTTGCTGTCCACAAAGTCATTTACAGTTTTTCAAAGCTTTTTTTCTTCAGCTTTTTTGTGTTTCGTAGAGGAAGATTGAGAGCTGCGGGACCTCACACTTGAAAAAACATGCAGCGCTGTGACATTTCGATTTATTTTTATTGATTCTCAAAAGGGAAGTGTGGGGGATCGAATGGAGAGGGGAGGGGGGAAAGGTTGTAGGTGCCGAGGTGGCGATGCTCTGAAATGCAAGTCAGGCGCCGATGGCACGCAAGTGATCATCACACCTTGATAAAGAGGAGGAGGGCAGGGTAGCTCCCCCATCTCAATCCTCATCTCCGGCAGGAACCCCAACCTTATAAAACGTATCGAATTTTTATTGAAATGCAGCCAAGTGCAGCCGTATGGGTGCGTATCTGAATCCCCATCTCAGTACGTGTGCTTGTGTGTGCGTGTTATCTGTGAACTGCCCGTGCATTTGTTACTTTTATGCTTGATTTATTGACTTTATTTTATGGCCGCTTGATTGGACACTAAATGAGTTTTTAAACTCCCTACGTAGCGGGGCGGGTCTTATCAATTTTTGATTCGATTTTTTCGTATTTCATTTGTACGAGTTGGATGTCGGTTTGTATTTTCGGTAGAAGTTGAAGTCACTTACGTTTTACATTTAACCCACGTTTCGATTTTAATGTCTGACAAAACGTTTCGATATGGCCTGAAGAAGGTTTGACTTTTTGTTGGCTTGAACAACTTACCTGAAACGAAAAACAAAGCGGGAAGAGAAATGTTAATTAAATTGTGTGTTTTTTTTTCGAGTCTCTGTAATTGCAGTTAAAATAAAAAGAGCTTTAGGGGCTACAAATGAGGTTCATTTGATTGTCGAGCGATCAATCAAAGTTAAGTGGTTGGATGAGAAAGTTTGAATAACGGAATGCAATCATTTTTAAAGGGTTTCCGCAGATAACTTTTTCAATTGAAATATGTATTTTAATTTATCTTGAGGGGAATATATATATATATATATATATATGTATTTGCTGCCCTTTTCAATTTAGTACAAATAAAGTTTATTACTTTATTATCCCATAAATCTAAGAAAAAGTTTATTATTTTGAAAGCCCGTTTTTTATTGCGGTCTTGTAGATCAAAGTAATTTACAACTAATTTTGTAACACAACATCAAACATATAATAAAAAACATTTGTTCTAAGAAGGATTTATCGGCTACAGTGGGTAATGAAACTGTTAAGTGAGTTTTGTACTTTCATAAAATTTTCCCGTTTTAACTTCATAGAGGCTTCTACCACCGGAAAACCATTAAATCATTATTCAACAGCCTATAACTAACCTGTCCAACTTAGCCGCTGATTGACAGATAGCCGTCTTAAAGCACCGATACGCACTGTATCGGTCCTCACATCACCTACGACAACAACTCGATTTGAATATGGCCCACGCAATGTAATTACAAAACGAACATCAAAGTCGTGCACAGACATAGACATTCCCATTTGGCTCCATTTAACCCTCCACTGCCTACAAAGCCAAAACCTACAGACACAAAACATGTTAACTATAATTAAACATAAATATCAACAGCAACACAAACAACAATCGACAGCAAAAGCAGCGTGAATAGCAAAAATGTCCATCAAAGTCTGCTCTCGAAGCAAATGACGCAGAATTCTTTTTAATTAAACATAAAATTACTTTGGCGCTGCCACAGACGAAGAAGTTCGAGGAGAAGGAGAAGGAGCAGGAGCAGGAGCAGGAGCTGGAGATAGTGCTGCTGGGGCGAATAAATCAAATGAAATCTACTTGGGCAAACAACTCTGTGAAGTGGGAACTTGGAACTTGGTACGTGGCTGGGGGTTTAGAGGGAAGGGGTATGGAAAATATATAGTGAAGAGACAGCGGGGTGCCCGTCGGTCGGTTTCGTTCAGTCTGCGGCACGTAATAATCATTTACATGAACACTCGCATAAATGTCACGTTGCTGCGATTATAAAAATAACTCGAAACTCCAAACTCCAAACGCCGGTGCAGAGTTGTCCGGGGCTGACTGCAAGTTCGGTTTGCTCTGCCCGTTGGCAGTCATAAATTAATGAATTTTTATTTGCTTATGCAATGGGGAAAATTGCAGCCGCGTCCCACTGCCCCCATCTATCTATATACCACCTATCTATCTATAGTAATGAAAGCATATCCTGCTTAAAAAAAAAAAAAAAAAAGAAAATAAAGAGTCAGACGGGATAGACCAGGTGGAAAAATTCAATTTCCAGGCATACGCCCGGGCTGCCTCCGTGGCTGAGGTTGAAGCTGGAAAACAAGTTGCATCCGCAATTAAGTCATCAAGTTGCAATTATTGCCATAAAAACGAACAAAACGCAGGCAGCGCAGCAAAAAATGTGGCCACGCATGAACGTGAGATGCTGCCGGTCGGCTGAGCCTGAGCTCTGACTTTGGGATTGGGTTTGGGCAAAAAAAAAAAAAAACACGAGGAGTAATCGTTAAAAGGATCCTTTCGAATGGGCCACATCCAGTAGCTAGGCTTTATTTACATGTACCTAAGTGTTGTCTTAACAAATTAAATATTTATATTAACTCGGCATTATTACATTTAAATGCTTTGATGCTCTTTATAAAATTTATTCTTTTCATCCAGCCTCATAAATATTTATTAAAGCAAATAAATCAATAAAAATTATATTGTTAAGACTCGAATTTATATTTTGTATTTTTAGATGTATATTATTTGGTTCTATTTTCTTATTTCTCTTTTAAACTTATAATTTTAAAATATATGCCCAAAATGAGGTTTTTTTTCCTATAGGAATATTTATTAAAAAAAAAATAGTGCATTTATGCAAAATTACATGTGATCTATAGATTCATATGTTGAAGATCAAGAAGATGTTTAAACAAAATTTAATTGTTCTTATATTTTAGTTAGATATTCCATTTTATAATTATGAACTAAAAGCTTAAATAAATTTGTAAAGGACTTGGAAATCCAAATTCCAGTAGACAGAACTACAACATACCCTGGAAATCTGTGGGTCCAGCGAAACTAAACGCACAGTGAGCTCCACAGATCTGGGGTGTTGCTGGCTCAGCGGGACAGCAGATGAGGGCAGCATCATAGCAGCTTCATCATCAGAGAGCGACTGCGACTGCGACTCCGACTGATACCGATACTAAAACTGAGGCTTGTGCAAACAAAGCAAATGCAACATCGGCGCGAGAGATACATATTGCGGGGCGCAGATACAGATATAGATACAGATACAACTGATACACGCGCGGCGGCAGATAAATTATTTGTCTTCGGTTTTTTACTTCTTTTCTGTTCTGCTTTTCTTTTCTTTTCTTTTGATTTTTTCCCATCTTCGACTGGCCAAGACGAAGACGTTCAGCAACTGGCTGCTCTTTGGCTTAATTAAAAGCTGCAGCAAAGCCCGGGATTGTTCCACGGATTTGGATTCGGATTCGGATTCAGACTGGACTGGACTGGAATTGAATTGCATCGAATCGAATTGGATCGGATCGGACGGGATGGGATGCGTTACAATGTGATGCGAGGCGAGGCGATGGGATGGGTTGTGTTTTGTTGCCTTTTATTTGCTTTTCATGCTGCGGTCGCTGAAATGACACTACAATGTCTTCGAAATGAAAATAAATACGCTGAAGTCGGGACCTGAGTGAAGACCGCGACAACATGAGGCAGCAACATTGGCAACAACAGAGTCCGCAGAGGTCCAACCATCGTCGACAGTCCGACCTGGCTACATGTTACACATTAAACCGCATCGGTCTTATGCCCCCTGGTTTCCCCCCATCTTCATGTATTTCTCTACAGTTGAGGTCAAAGTAATAGTCATTGGGTTCTGTGTTTGTGAAGACCTTTTTAAGAAACCATCCTTTTCGTTTGAGGTCCAAAGATAAAGCCTTATTGACCTACTTGTTATCCTTATTCAATTAAATAACAATTTAGTTAAATATACATTCTTACCACCACTAAGAGACGTTTTAAAAAAATATGCATGATATTTACGCTTTAATTTTGATGCTAAAACCTAATTTAGGTCAATACAGTTTCTTTGCTCATTTATCGCCATTACAATCAATTAAAAGTATTTTTATTTAAAAAGATTTTGTCAAAACAGGCAGTAATTTTAAATACTATTATTTTGACTACTACTGTGTTTATATCCACTTATTTTTTGTTCTGTTTGCCTTTGAGATTTCGCAGCCAAGCGCAACGCTCGACTCGACTCGGCTGCCAATGACTTTGCCCTTTTTCGCCGGGTTTTTATTGCGGCCGCCTCGCTATGTTTTATAAATCTCATTTTCAAGAGGATTTGTGTGCCTGTCAAAATGTTGATGTTTCACAAAACACTCGCCCTCTCGAAGTTGCAGACGAAGCTGCTCTGCTCGATTTCAATCATGACCGATTTCATTTTCAGCTTCGGATTGTTTTCTTTTATTTTTTTTGCCTCTACTCTTGATGTGCGCGTTTTGATCGCCGCTGTCTGGGAATTATACGATTTCGCTGCATTGAATTACCACGTCAATGTCGACTGACTTCGCCCAACTGACTCTGACTTTTGCGGTCTTTAGCTCTTGGCGCTGCGGCGGCCAAATTACAACAATTTGTTTGCCTTATAAAGTTAAGCCCAGAACAAAGGCCCAGGCAACACACAATCATCATTATCGAAATGTCATAAAACCAAATGAGCGGGCATTATTCAATTTTAAACAACGAACCGGGGCATCATCATCCTCGATCTCATCCTCATCCTCATCCCCATTCCCATTCTCATCCTCGTTCTCATCGCAACGGAAGCAAAAGCGGCAGCAGCTGCCAAACAACTTAATACAGACAAAAGCCATGAGAAGAGGCATCCCAACCCGGATGGATGGAATGGATGCCAAATTCCTGGCCAGCCAAAATAAATGTTTCAACTGCCTCGAATGCCCTTTCACTGCGCCTCGCACTGCGCAAGTAAGCAAGCAAAAAATAATAAGAATACAAACAAACAACAGCCAAAAATTAAGCATAATTACTGACAGCAATCGAGGCGGCCCCACACACAGGCGGCGGCGGCGGCGGCCAAAACCAAGGGCTACGTGAAGGCAGCCCAGGATTTTTGACTCAAACTGAAGGCGGCACTGGCAGAATAACTAGGCCACTTGTCACGGGATTTTGAAATGCGAAAACAAAATGGGGAATAAGTTTACCAGAAATTCTAAACTTGTCAATACTAAATAAAGGTCGCAAAATCAATCCTATATATATTCCTAGCCAAAACAAATATTTAACAATAATATTTAAAAGTTTTGACCAAAAACCCAGTGAACTGGGTTTAAATTGCAGTACCAGAAGAAATATTTTATTAGTCAAGAATCAACATTGCAATACTTGTTATATATAAATTTAATTATCCTTAATAATCGCTTTATAATTGTTTCAAATAAAAAACGTAGTACTATAAGCTCCCAAATAAACCGGATTTCAGTTTAAAATTTGATTTTTTTTTTCTACATCATTAAAGTTTATGACATTAGTTTTTGACTAAAAAAACTAAAACTGTATCGCTTACAAAGAATTTTTCTTCTCAATCTTTTTTTATAATTTTTTTTTAGTGTTGGGCTGGGCCAAAACGTTTTCATTAAAATTGCTGCCTTGGCCAATCTGCGGGCCACGCACAACAAGAGCAGCAGGAGAATAAAACTAAAAAAAAAAAAAAAAAAAG